GTGTGTGTGTGTGTGTGTGTGTGTGTGTGTGTGTGTGTGTGTGTGTGTGTGTGTGTGTGTGTGTGTGTGTGTGTGTGTGTGTGTGTGTGTTGGCATGCTCGCTGTACACAACTCACCAGTCCTCTTTGTTCCAACGGGGAATGACGAGTTCAGAACGTGCGTGGACTATAGAGGTCTCAACAAAATCACGAGGAAGTCCACAAAGCCTCTTCCTCGCATTGATGATCTGTTGGACATGGTGGAGGGGTGTACCATTTTTAGCAAGATCGATCTCAAATCTGGGTATCACCAGATTGAGATGGCTGAAGGCGATGTCCACAAGACAACCTTCAAGACCAGGTATGGCACTTATGAGTACCTGGTCATGCCATTTGGTCTTTGGAATGCCCCAGGCACCTTCCAGACAGAGATGCATTGCATACTCAGGCCTAAATGGACAAGTTTGTAGTTGTCCACTTGGATGATATCCTAGTATCCAGTCGTTCTGTCCAGGAGCATGCGCAACATCTGGCTCTGGTCCTCTAGGCCTCACATGATAACCAGTATGAGATCAACAGGGAGAAGTCCTCTTTTGGAGTTCCCTTTGTAATCTACCTTGGTCATGTTATTTCTGGAGAGGGGTTGGCTCCGGAGGCAATGAAAGTTGCTGCTGTTCAGGACTGGCCGAAGCCTGTGAACATTCGTGATGTCCGGTCTTTCTTGGGTCTTGAATTCTATTACAGGAAGTTCTTCTATTGCAGCACCCCTGACTGACCTCACAAAGAAAAACACTTCCTTTCTTTGGACATCAGAGTGTCAGGAGGCTTTCACACGTCTTAAGGAGGCCTTGATTTGTGCCCCTGTTTTGAAACTACCTAGCCCTACTTTGCCTTTTGTGCTTATCACCGATGCTAGTCAGTATGGTGTAGGGGCGATACTTCAACAGGATGATGGGAACGGTCTGCAGCCTGTCAAGTACATGAGCAAGAAGATCAAAACAAAGAAGCTGCAGGATTCTACCTATGAGAAAGAGCTTTATGCTCTTGTGTCAGCGCTCAAGCATTGGAAACATTTCCTCCTAGGTAGGCACTTCAAGATCTTCTCAGATCACTCTACTTTGCAGTGGATGAAGTCCTAGGGAGAACTGAACGACAAGCTTGCTCGCTATATTCAGTTCGTTGACATGTTTGACTTTGAACTAAGACACAAGAAGGGCTGCTACAATCGAGTAGCAGATGCCCTCTGTCGTAGGCCTGACGCTCTCTTTCTGATTTCCTTCACCCACTCTTTTGGAGAGAAGACTCGTCAGACCATTGCCCATTTGCTGCCCCAGGATGCGGTTTTTGGGCCTATAGTGAGGAATCTTCAAGATGATCCTGCCTCTGAGCCAGGATATACTCTAGTTTCAGATCTGCTGTACACATGCAGTAGAGGTGAGGAACGCCTATGCATTCCCCAGGACCGCAAGTTGAGGACACTTCTGATGTCAGAGTGTCGTGATGCTCGTGGTCACTTTGGAGCCCTCAAATCGTATGCAGCCCTGTCGCATCGCTCCTTCTAGAAGAAGATGAGGAGTGACATGCTGCACTAATGTGGAAACCTGCGAGTTATGCTAGAGGAATAAGGTGGTACGTCGACCTCCCCTTCGCCTACTCAAACCACTACCCATTCCTGATGCTCCTGCACAGTCAGTGTCTATTAATTTTACTGACTTGGGTAGGACCATTCCTCATGGGATGCGTCGGATCATGGTATGTGTTGACCGGTTCTCCAAATATGAAGAGTTCATCCCCTTACCAGTTGAGGCTCGCGTTCCAGCCGTTCAGGCGGCATTTGCTGACAGGTGGGTTACACATCATGGGCCACCCACCTCCATTGTCAGTGATCGAGATCCCAATTTCTGCAGCAATGAATGGTAATCCTACTGCAGGGATTACCTTCATTCTCGCCTGGATATGACATCTGGTCATCATCGTGAAGCCAATGGTCAGACTGAAGTGATGAACTAGATTTTGTTTCAACTGTTGCGTCCTGTGATCAGTCCAGACTAGCAGGACTGGGATCTTCACTTGAGTTGTGCACAACTTGTGTATAACACTTATGTATGCTCCTCCACAAGCTTCACACCCTACCGGTTGCACTGGGGTCATGAGCCACGACAACCTTTCAATGACATCATCGATAAGGCTACCCCTATGTTGACACCTGGAACTGCAAAGTTCACCAGGCGTTACCGTGTGGACATAGAACGCGCCCGTGCCAACCTGCTGAAAGCCCAAAAAACTACGATTCAACAAGCTGACAGGCACAAACGTCCTTCTACGATTCGCACAGGTGACTGGGTGTGGGTACTCAGTTATGAGCTGTCATGAGAGGAGGACATTTCGCCTAACCTGTTGCCGCGATATATGGGTCCATGGCAGGTCTTAGATACAGTGGGAGCTGATCCTTTTGGACCATCCTATACAGTGGATGTCCCTCTGCATCTACAAACCTACCGTGTCTTCCATGCATCTAAGTTGTTGCCATTTGCATCAACTGATGCATTCCCAGACAGACCTCCTCAGTTTGGACCTCCTATCCCAGGAAAGGGATATGACGTGAAGTCCATTGAGGATGAGTCAGGTACAGGACCAGATAAGGAATACCTTGTGAAGTTTTGCTACCAGCCTCATACTAAAGACCGCTGGTTTACTCGCAAGGAACTTTTGAAAACGGCTAAGTCTGTTGTCCTCAGGTTTGAGGCAGCACAGAAGGGAGAACCCCTTAGACGTTCTGCACACCTACGCCCCTAGCTCGGAGGTCCTCGCTCCGGGGGAGGGTAGGTCTGCAAAGACTTGCTCGTTTCTGGTCGTCTGTAGCCTCTCTCTTGTCAAGGCTGTACTATCTGTAGGGTAGATTCGTTATTTTGTTTGGCTGAGGGCTAACTGAGAGACCTACCTGTAAGGAAAATTCGTGAGGGACATATCTGTAAATTCGGGAAAATACAGGCCCGTACTAACTGAATTTCCTACAGCTACCCTAACTGCGAATAGCAGACCCGGGTTACCCCTAGGACAGACAGGCCCTAAGGGCCTAAGCTGATAGACGGTCCAATATCCTATGGTCGGGGTTGGGAGAGACCCTCGAGGCTGAAACAGAAACGATACCGGTCGGTCAGTCAGTCCGGTCTAGGTCGAGTCAAGGCTAGAGTAGACTATAGATAGGATAGGCACATCGGTTGAGGGCTTTTGGCAGTTGCTACCGAGTACATCGCTGCTGCGCAACGCGTGAACCGGAAGTGGTGACGGCTCAGCGTGGAAGGTGACACGCATAGCCAGACCTTCGGAGCGCCGACCATAGCTGGGACCTGCGCTGTACTCTGTCAGCATGCGGGGTTGTATAGAGGTTAGGGTTATTGAGGTCTGCTGGAGGCGAGAGAAGTTGGTGCCCTGCTGGACCCTCCTCTGGAATGGGGTTCCAAGGTTGTGGCGCTGCAGCCATAGCTGCAGCATCTTCCTTAGAGATCATTTTGTCATGAGTGGTGGCCCTGCTTCAGACTTCCACCCGGGAAGTCTTTCGAGACTTCGTCATCATCAGATACTGTGGCGCAGTCTTCTTCTTCGTCCTCTGAGTGGCGCTTGGCCTCAGAGGCCTGTTTGAGGGTGGCGCTTCCCTTTGGAGGCTGTATCTGGGTGGCGCTTGATGTTTCAGGGACTCAGGGGTAGTGATAGCTGTTCATCAGGGTTGGGGAGTGAAGCGCTGCTCATCTCTGAGCAGCGCATCATAGTTCTGAGGTTATTCTGACAATTTGAGACTGTGAGTTTCATAAACAGTGTGGATACTGGGTTTGGACTATCATTGTTTCATTGTTTCTTGGATGTGATCTACTCGGCTTTCCTTTATGACTGGTTGTGAGGATTGAGTGAAGTGAATTGCACTTTCAGTGTACCCTGTCATATCGCATGGTCAAGGCTTCCGCTGTGTTTCTCTCTCCATGTGCGGTGTGATACTCCTATCCTCTCCCCTTCCTTCTGTGTATGTATGGGCATACCTGGGAGTCTATGTGAGTGAGTGTTGGTTTTCAGGCAATAGACAACCAGAATCATAACAACTCCACATAAAAAGACCATCACTGTGCCAGACTTTTTCGTTGGACTTTCACCGACTCATCAGGAGGTTGAAACTGGACAGACAGTCTGCCCATAATGCATTTGACTGATGGATAAGGACTCGCCACATCGCCCAGAGTTAGCAATACCCGGCCCTTGAGAGAGAAAAGTGGTCGATTTCACTCACACCAACCCTCTGTGTGTGTGTGTGTGTGTGTGTGTGTGTGTGTGTGTGTGTGTGTGTGTGCAGTAGTAAAGATACTTAGAATCTGGGGTTTCATGACGCTCTTCCCCATATGCTTACTTGCCGATGTCAATGAGTGCTATTCATCGCCATATGGTCTTGAGATGGAGCTTACATGGATGCCATTTTCTTTCCAGTACAGGCTTGCATACCGGCTTTGGCTGAATACAACGTACCTTCATTATGAATGTATACAAGCTATCTTTCCGGTCTGGGTCAAAATAGGCGGGCAGCCATGGATGAAAGAAATCATGCAGTGAAAGAAAAACAAAAAACAAAGAAAGGGAGGAATGATGCAGCGATTCCATCCGCATTCATTTGCTCCGGGTCTAATGGTTGACTATATACTGTTTTCTTCGGTTGGGTTGCCTGTGGTTCTATGGAGCTGGGGGAAAGGTGGGGAGACTGGGTTGTTGAGGGGGGAAAGGGTGAGAGTGGGTGCTTATTTATTTTAGGAGCTACATAAGGTTGCGCAAAGATTTGCGTGGCCACTCTCTCTCTCTTTCTCTCTCTCTCGAGCGCGTGCGCGCGTGCGTGTGAAAAGCGGTATGCGTCCGTCTCTCTCTCTCTCTCTTTGTGGTGAGAAGTGTGGTGTACATGTGTATTGCATCGCGTGAAAAGCGGTATGTGTGTGTGTCGCTCTCTCTCTGTGGTGAGAAGTGTGGTGTATGTGTGTATTGCATTGAATGAGAGCGTGTTATGTGTATTTCACGTTTTCTTTTTTTTCTTTTTTTTAATTTCACGGTGTTTTATTCTGTCGTGTTTACAACTTTCACAATTTTCACCAAGGGAGCATGTTCAAGGGCGCGCCCTAAACTAGGGACCTGGACCTAACAATGGCCTGGGCCAGCTTGAGATGATGTGGCAGAGTTGGAGAGAGAGAGAGAGAGAGAGAGAGAGAGAGAGAAAGAGAGAGGGTGGGGGTTGTGCTGCTGGTGAGGTGGGCATGTCCTCTTTGTTTGGGGGTTGACTGACTGGGGCTGCCTGTGGTTGTGCGTCTCCTGCAGATGTGGGGGATAGTGTCTTCACGTTCGACTGCACTGACGGGGGTGCTTTTTTGCAACCGCACCCAGACGAGAGGCATGGCAGCGACAGTGGACGGAGTATTGGAGGAGGGGAAGGGAAAGCCTCGGCTGATGCTGGAGGGAAAGAAACTGCCAGCAGCGCGTTTGGACACAGCATAGCCCATGCGAAGCCATGGAATGGAGAATCTGTCAAAGCAGCGGATGGGAACACCATAGAGTCCGGAGCCTGCCTGCCTTGTGAAGAGGAGAAGCCGGCGCCGCTGCCACCGCCACCGCCGCCGCCGCATCCTGCACTCGGCAAACAGACGAGGAATCGCCCCAGCAAAAGTGAGCCTTGCAATTGCAATTCCATTATCCGCTTCCGTTTTTTATCGTCTTCTTGAATTTCTGGCTGGGTGCTGTATTCATCTCTCGGGGACCTTTTCCGTTTGGTCTTCTTATCCCTCCCTTCTTTTTTCCTTTCGTTCTTTCTTTCGTTCGTTCGTTCTTAATTTTGTGGGGGGGTTTGCTTTAGGAATCAGGATGGCTTTCTGCTCCCTCTCCTGCAAAAAAAACAACAAAAAAAAACACTTGAGTTGGTATAGTAATATAGTATAAGTTTACGAGTGTATGCTGCTTGTGCTGTGCCCTTCAGTATTCGCCGATCGGTAAGTTGAGAGAGAGATTAGCACCTACCTTCTCCCTTTTGATTCGCCTTGTTGCTTACCGCGTTGTTGACGTGCTCATTTTTTCACCTGGCCACTGTTTTTGGCATGCTGCTTGAGGCCATACTCACACTAGCACTTTCCTGAATGCATCCTGACTGCAATTACGGCCAGATGTGGATGCATCGGGCTGTAATCACGTCCAGGGTGTCTCCCTTCTGTTTTACCTTGTTGCGTATCGCATTGTTGCTGTGCTTATCGTATTAGTAGGTATTACTTTTTTTTTTTTTTTTTTTTTCCCACAACACACAAGCCCCTTCTATTCTGGGGGCGTCAGTCCGGTTGCTTGCTACCGCCAAGCAAGAGTACAAGAAACAACAAGAAGAGGAAGTAAAGAAGACTCAGCCCAACCCTTGCAGTCCGAGTCACCTGCTTAGAGGGGGGGGCTGCTACGAGCCAACCCCCCCCCCCCCCCAAGAAAAATACCATAGCCTTGCTGGGGGGCTTCTGCTGACCGGGAAGCTTACTGGCAGCACCCAGTCACGCAGCAGAAGAGCCTCAGGAAAGGGGAGGTGCGGCCCTCCTAGCATCCTCTCAGGCCGCAAAACTCAAACTTGGTCGTGACTACTCTATCAAAATGAAGTCCAAAAAACCAACAAGCATTACTACTACAGTGTTGTCACGCGGGGATCCCCGGGGCCCAAGCCGGGGTGGAGGTTTCACCCCCGCACCCCCGCCGCGGGGATCCCCGACCCCCGGCCCCTCCAAATCACCCCCGGACGTGCC